AAACTTTTAAAATTGTCAAAAAGTCCCCCCCGGGAAAGACAAATAAAGGAGCGGTCATTTCGCCCCCTTAATTTATTTATTTATTTTATTAATCCTTTTATTTTAAAATAAACGTGGAAAATTAATTTAAGTAAAAAAAGTTTTTTAAAAATTTAAGGAACGAACTTATTTTGAATAACTAGAAAGATACTCGTATAATTCATTAATATACATTTCGATTTTAATGTTTTGTTTTATTTTTTACCTTCATCAAGGTTATAATACAGTTTTATGTGATTTAAAAAAAACAATAACATTATTGTTTTTAAATAAAATGTAAATTTTAAAATATCATAAAATTTTAAAAACAAAAATATATGTCATAATTAGTATCAAAATATCATAAAATTTTAATAGGGTTGTTAACGAATCAATTTATTTTTAATTTAATAATATATTTTTTTATAAAGATAATAATTAAGTATTCGGTTATAATTCAATTACTATCTTCATTATATTTTAGATCTTTTATATTTCAAATTATATGTTTATCATGTATTTGATTATGTTTATCTGCATTTAGTTACACGAATTCAAACATGAAATTTTAATAAGTTGTATTTACGTACAATTTACTTGTAATCTTGAATTTTAAGCAATGTGTATCAATAAACAGTACTTCATTCATAAAAATGGTTTTAAAAGTTGTTGTTAAATGGTTTATAATATAGTATAGATTAAGTTATTGAATTTTTTTTAATGAAAAAACCATTAAACTTTTTATTTTGATTGATGAAGTCTTCAGACTATTCTTTTGAATGAAAAATTATTAAACTTTCTCATTTTGAATGATCAAGTTCCTAAACATCTTTTTTAATAGATAAACCATCTAACTTTTGAAAATTGATTACTTGCATCATTTTAACAAAAACAACAAAAAACACTACCTGTAACCCACTAGAAATGCCTTAAAATAAAACTACTTGTAACCCCCTAAAAATAGATCAAAAATGGAGATGGATGGCAGGGGCCAACAGTGTAATAGGCGACATGAAAAATGGACAACAATGAGGTTATAGGGAGTGGCAAGCGGGGTGATACCGTTGTTTGCAAGGGTTTGGAGGGCGCAGTGTTTGGAAACGATAAAACTGGTTTAGGTTTTTTTTTACTTTAATGACCATTCTACTCGGTTATCGGTAGTTTATTTTGTTAAAAGGATGTTGATATTCATTTTCTAAAAGTTCAATGGTTTATTTTATTATAAAAATTGTTCAGGAACTTAATCATTTAAAAGTAAAAATTGATATTTTTTCATTCAAAAAAATAGTTCAGGACAAATCATTAAAAATAAGAAAGTTTAATGGGTTTTTTCATTCAAAAAATAGTCCAAGGACTTAATCATTTAAAACGAGATAATTTGTTGGGATTTTATAAATTTTTCCCTTGATTAAAATAATCAATCTTCTCATCTCCATTCAGTTGTAGTCATATTTTCAAGACAGTTCCAAAAAATAACCGTTTTTAAAAAAATAAATATGTAAATCTGTACAAAAAAATGTACTTCTAATGCAAACTCATGCTTTTCTACGTAAATCCCATTTTTTTTATTAGATAAAATGTGGTTTTGCGTATACACGTATAACATTTACGTAAAGAATGGTTATTTTGGGAATTAACATGGAAATATAGTTGAAAAAAATGAATGAAGGTGGCGATTGGTTATTTTAGTCAATTTCCAAATGAATATCAGTATTTTTACTTATATTTGTATCAAGATAAATGTCTAATTTCAAAAATAACGATTCAGTTCTCAAATCTACTCTTAATTAATACTTAAATATTTAAGAGTTGTGAAGAGGGATAATTAATTAAAAATTATTCATTTTTAAAACTGTATGTCAAATGAATGGTGCACTGTTTAATAACCAATGTATCTACATTTTATCCGTTCAATTCAAGTTTACAGTTACATACGCCATTAGTTTTAAACGAATAAATATATTCTTTTATATAAAAGTTCTTACAATGTATTCTCTACCTACCCACCTGTGTCGGTTTCGGGTACAGGTACCCTTTGTTGTTTATGAAACTAAGCCAATGATACGATAATAATTTGAAAAAATTCAGTTCATGTATCACAATGTGCATAACAGCTGGTTAACTACACATACTGGAAGGTAAGGAAAATGATCGAGTGATAAGAAGAGCTAAAGTGATAAGCGTAATAAATGATCTGAACCTTTGATCATCTTTAATCTCAAACTCACCCATGAACCACGTTTGATACGGGAATTAATTTAGTGCATCTTATCTTAATGTATATCCAAGGATGGAGATCGTTTATTACACTTCTCATCTTATTTCTAGTTTTCACCGGAACCCAACACTGTTTAGCAAAGTATCAAACGTTGGATAGATAAAACTAAACAAATTGTACACGACACTCTTCAAGTTGTGATTAATGACATGTACATTGAACATAAGGATCATTGAGTTGTCGTATCTTAAACCATAACTGTTACCGTACTTTTTGATTATTTTTTGTATAAAAATTGTTGATAGTTTATAATATATATTTTTGGATGAATTGCATGAAAATGCATCAATCTTTTTTAATTTTAGTTTGTGTAGCGTACGTTTTGAATATTCATTTTTGTATTTCACATATGACATCTAATAGCTAAGAATGCATGAAAATGCAACATATTTTAGTTTGATTTTTATTATCTGTAACGTATTTTTGTCAAAATGACTGAAATATCACATTCATGATATCTGAAATAAAGATTTAGAAATTACATCAGAGAAATTAAATACTCGAACCATTCAATGCAATTTGTCCTATATTGGACCTAAAAGTATTTTCGTCAACAAGTTTTTTAAACATATACGGATAACGGGACATTGTATTTTTAATAAAGTGCAAAATCTTATCATCTTGTTTCTAGAGCATCTGTAAGGCTGCATTTGTTATATGGGACAAGATAGGACGGAATAAAACTCATTGTCTCACGTTTGACGCAACATGGGACATGACAACAACTTACTGTCTCACGTTTGAAGCGACATAAGACAGAGACAATAATTGAGACAAAGTGAGATAACATGAGACAAAAAAGACATTTTCTTAATCCACCAAATTAGGTGAAACAATATGAGACAAAAATTAGACATAAACTGAAATATTACTAAGTAACTTTCATTTGGTATATAACCTCAATATGATATTTGTTTTAGTGGTCGGTAGCCATAGTCGGGCACCATCGGCCACCGACCACCACCACCTCCACCGTCAGCCACCAACCGCCACCACTCCCATCGTTGGCCACCTCAACCTTCTCCTCTAATACAGCAACTTCCGCCACCACCGTTCATTGCCACCAACATTACCACCATGGGATTTAAACATACAATTCTATTGTATATGCAAACTACACACATTTTTTTTAATATTTATCTTTAAATATGTTTGTCAAAAAACATCATAAAAATTCATGTTGAGATTGTATATTAAACATTGTGAGAAACTAAAAATCATAATTAATGGAAGGTTTATATACAAATCAAACAAAAAATCTATTCAGTTATAATATATTCATATGAATTCAGATAATGAATCTTCAATTGCATGATTCACATATGAATCTTGCATTTAATCTTCTCATGATGTTTAATATACTTATTTGAAACTCTTACTAAAAAACTACTAGCAAAATTGGTTTCATAGGACGTCTAGAATGTCTAAGCGTCTTAATATAATATTTTATAGAACATAAGTTTATAGGACAAAACTATAAACAAAAACGTTACAATATGTTTATTTTTAATATAAAGTATCATGTTAACTATTTTTATAGGACATTTTTTAGAAGTGTCTTATAAACCCATCATTTTACAGGAATTTTTTTCAAATTATATCATATAAAAAAGCTAATACAATATTTAATTTTAAAAGCGTTGGTAAAACACTTTAAAATGTCATATAAACATATTGTAAACGCATCTATAGAGAATGTGTACAGTTCCTTGTAAGACAATTTTTGTTCCATTCCCGAACCAATATGGGATCTTAGAATCCAACCCCTTCGGGAGCTCAACATCCTCACTGATACACTAGTCCGGTTCTCAGCTCTGACACCATATTTAACATTGCAAGCCAACCATACTAGATATTGTCCGCTTTGTTTACACCTGAACTCACGATTTTAAAACGCATCTGATAAAGGAGATGCCCAGTTTCTTATAAGACAACTTTCGTTCCCCTCTCTAACCATTGTTAAGATTTTACATTATTAGATGAGACGTTTATGATTTAATCTTATAAAATATTTTATCAGGACGTTTAAACGTATTATGAAACCAATTTTGTTATAATTAATTTAAATCTGATAATAACTTTTACAACAAATCCAAACTATTTATTTTCTTGAGAAGAAGTAATTAAGATTAAAAAATAGTAAATAAAATTAAATTTTAAAAAAAATTAAAGACACCTATGATATCAACCTCTCATAGACCGACACGTGTGATACCTATTTAAGGTTGGTGACATATGTTGATGTCTTTTATCTGTAAAAACTAATAATTCACTTAGAACTCCACACCGCTCTCCCACGCGCTCCCCTCCCCATTCTACTCGCACAATCGTCTCCTCCACGCGCCGTAATTGCGACTCTGATTACCCCCCATGATCATGCTTGCTTGTGTTTCTCAAATAGGTTAAAAAGCATGAAGCTTTGAAGGTGGAAACAACACCAACCCTAAATTTCATATCTGGGTATGAAATATGAAACCAAAAAAATCTTAGAAAACCCTAAAAAACATAGAATCCAAGATTAAATCCGAAACCCTTCTCAGTTTTCGCATCGTTTTTCTTCAAGTTTTTTGCATATTGCATCTGTGTTCATAAACCAATTTTTGTTTCTGTTTTTGTTTTCGTTTTAAACTCATTCGATTTCGATTTCAAGTGGGAATCGAAGAACTTGTGTTTGTTTTCTTTGTTGTCGAAATTTTGAAGAATTATGGGGAGAGGAAGAGTGGAATTGAAGAGGATCGAGAATAAGATAAATAGACAGGTGACTTTTGCGAAACGAAGAAATGGGCTTCTGAAGAAAGCTTATGAACTCTCTGTTCTTTGTGATGCTGAAGTTGCTCTCATCATCTTCTCAAATCGTGGAAAGCTCTATGAGTTCTGCAGTACTTCCAAGTAATTCATAAGAACACACCTTTACTATGTGTGTTTCTGTGTGTCTTAATTTCTTCCCTTTTTTCCTGCAGATCTGATATGGGTTTCTGTGTTTCTTGATGATCATGTTCTTGAGTTGCAGATTCTTTTATACTTTTATTTGCTTGAATACCCACCAGTTTAGTGACCTACACATACATATATATATAACCTATACATACATATATATATAGAGAGAGAGAGAGAGATATAGAGGTTTCTTGATGAAGGTTTATGGGTTTGAAATTAGGTTTAAGGATCTGAGGCTTAACAAGATCTTGTGTTCATGAATCTTGAAAAGGAAAGTAAACCATGTAAGTGACATAAAACAAGAAATTGGGATGAGTTCTTTTACTTTTGATTTTGCTTCTTTTTTTAGTTTTCTTGGATTTAGTTTTCGTGGGAAGAATGGAATTACCTTTTGGGTATTTATTCACATGATCCGGTTTTACAAAACCAAAATCCGTGTTTTTGTCCAAGTTTTAATGCATCAAAACCGATGAATCTTTGTGCTTTTGGGATGTAAACATTTCAAATGCCGACCTTGTGTAGAACCAATGTCGATCTTGGCTCGTCTTTACGTTTCTAGACGATTTTCTTTCGTGTAAAGTCTTCGGCTTTCGTGTCGGGTTTTCAAAGATCTTCGTTTGAAATTGAAACGATTAAACGTATTCGAACGGGGTTTTATCGGGTCCGATTTTGTTTGGTTTATTTTGATTTAATTTCTAGGTTTGTTTTTAGATCTTGTTGGGGATTGGAGCTGCAAGTTCATTGATTCAAAGACAAAAGTACAAAAGCTTTACTTGTTTTTCTACTGGAACCCTAATTTTCAGCACATTTTTCAAAGAGAAATGATTAAATCGTAGATTTAATCTGATTATTCCTTTTTCATTTTGGAATCATTATTGCAACATGATTTTGGATTAGGAAATTATTTAATCACATAATTAGCTTCAAAAACTCATTAATTATTGCATAAATTAACCCTAGCGATTCACTGCTCATGATCATGGTTATGAGGTCTTAATTTTTGTTTTTCTTTCTAAATGTTTCTCTTGTGTTATGATACAGAATCTGGTATAAAACGTGGGTTCTAATACGAAAAACTGCGTTGATACGGGTTTGAGTTTTCAATTAGTAACGAGATTGTGTTCTTTTGTATAAATAAGATGGACTAACAGATCACGATAAAAAGGTGAATCCGACATGAACCTCCGGGTTTTGCCCATACGAAAATCCGTCAAAACGGATAACTAATACGTTAGTAGGATGGGTTTCATGTGTTCAATGAGTTTTACATGTTCTAAAACACGATGTGTTGATCACTCTTCAATTAGAAACTTAATTTCAAGACAATTTAGCGCCGTTTATGCATCGTATGAACCTAAATGAATTGTTTTCTTTTGTTATAACTAATTAATCGTATATATCGCAGCATGCTCAAGATGCTCGAAAGGTATCAGAATTGCACTTATAGTTCGATGGAAGTCAGCAGATCAGCCAATGATGCCGAGGTATGATTTGCAGTTCCATTTTATTTCTTCAATTCATGTTGTGAAAAGAGAAATATTTTGAGAACGAGAGAACTAATTATTCATGATGAATAACCAGATAGATATGCACAACGAAAAATGCATGGTATTTATGAATAATTTGGAGTTATTCATCATGAATAATTCATGAAATAGTTAGTTCTCATGCAAACACGAAACCATTTCTTGTTGCATTCATCGTATTGAGTAGTTTCTTGTTAATTTGGATTGTATAGCAAAGCAGCTACAAGGAGTACATGAAACTGAAAGCTAAATACGAGTCTCTACAACAATACCAAAGGCAAGTAGTTTGTGTGTGTGTGTGTGTAAAAAAGATCGAATTTTTATGAACCGAACGAACGAGGCTAAACAAGATTTGTATCTACCGAACCTTGAATCGTGATCATTTCACAGGCAACTTTTTGGAGAAGATCTAGGGCCATTGAATCTGAAAGAACTTGAGCAACTAGAGCGCCAACTTGACTCCACGCTGAGGCAAATCCGGTCCATAAGGGTAAGATCGAGACACCAGATACGAAACTTCAATATCATCGATTAGTGAAAGTGGAGGTTTCTTTATGCCTAAAATTGGATCTTTTTACATACCCATGTGATCTTAATGAAATTGGAAGCTTCTGTATGTCTAAAATTGAATCTTTTTACATACCCATATGATC